CCCGAGAAACCAGAAACGAGAATTATTAATCGGCTTGATCGGCTCAGCGGCGCGCTGCGTTTCGCGAGCCGCTCGAGGCGCCGAGTTAACGAGATGTTAATGATATACGAGTCTTATTACCAACGCGTTATTAAATGCCTTTAAAATTCAAGTCTCGATCCTGGATCGCTCGGCCCGCTAGATCCCACAGGCATTTCTTACCGCGATCGATTCACTCCTTTCTCGTCGGTTCACATGTCCCGAGATCCAAAGATTAGAACCATCGAAACTTTGTTTGTTGTCTATCGATTGTCCCTCTTTAGGATCTCTCTCGATCCGTGCGGTCTTTATCACGCGTGAATCTTCGAGACCAGAAAGAAACCGGGTTACTCGGCAAACCAGATAAAAGATCAAGCTACCGTTTCCCGATTTTAATCCACGAAATCTCTCCTCGATCGGTGATTGATTACGTTGCGACGATTACTCGTTATCTTCTGTTTGAGAACGCGACCTGTATCAGACGGAACAGTGATTGTTTAAATCGCTACTTTTAACCCTGCTAATTCTTCACCCAATCGTTTTCTCATTTTGATAGTAGGTTAACTCAACGTTTACTGTTTTCCGAATTAATCCTATTTTGTTCGGTAATTTGAATTCGAGAATATTGTAAACTCTTTGCTGTTCTACGTGTTTCTGTCTTCTTTAATAACATTTCAAATGTGTAGATAAATCGAGTTCGGTTAACTTGATACAGTTTCATTTTTGCTTTGAGGTTGCAAAATTGCAAATATAGTTGTGAGCAATTAGTTACGGATAATCGATGTGATAGAGATTAATAAGGACGCTTTAATAGAATTAGATTAATTGGAGATTGTTATACGAATTGTTGTGTTTATCGGCGGTTCTTCTGGAAAAAATCGGTAGTGTAAGGGTAGCTTTCCAGTGACCGTAAGATTCTTTCGCATTGTCCATCTGCCAGCGTGATGGTTAACTATAGATAATGAACGATAACGGGTATCGTAACGAGATAAGCCTGATTCTTACTTCTTTATAACGAGACGTGCTACTACACCGTCGGTCAGTTGGGTATTTGTGGTTGTTGTATGAGGAACCGATCATTAAACAAAGAGGATCTGCTTCCTGGAACAAGGATGAACGTTTTCATTGCAGCAACTTTTGGGTTGCTGCTGGCTGGCGCGGCTTACGGTGAGTCGAATTTCTTGGATGCTATTTTTATCAGCTTTTTATAGATAGGCAAGAATCGACAGAAATCAGTGACGTCAATTTCGATTCTAGAAAGGGAAAGAGGTTGAAATTCTCGCGATTTCCGAGCGTCGTTATGCAACGAGACAGTGATAGATTGGTTGAACTGATAGAACAGGTTATAAATAAACTGTGATTTTATTTCTGGGAAAATCGTTGACCCGTTTGTTCAATTAATTTATATACTTATATATATAATATGATATTATTCATAATCGATTAATTCTGTTTATGAATTTGTAATTTCCTGCAAACAATTTGAATCTGTAAGTTAATCGAATCGAATAGAACAATAGAAATGATCAAATGAAATGAATATAGAATTGATATTCATATGATACCAATGTCAAAGATTCTAGAATCAGATTTTTGAGAATAAAAGAAGAAATAATTCAACCATGACAAAAATCAATTACGTGAAAGGGTGTATTTCTTCAGCGGATATAGAGAACCAATCGGTACCAGACAACGAAACGGAATGGTTGTCTTTCTCGTTGACCGGTCGCATAGTGAACGGGACAAAGGCAGCGTTAAGACAGTTCCCTTATCAGGTAATACTATTGTCCAATAACTACGATTACTTTATTCCGCGAACACTTTAAATCTCGAGCGCTAATCGCTCGCGTTTATTGCAGGTCTCATTGAGGCGTAGTTACAACTCCAGACATTTCTGCGGCGGTTCTTTGATCGACGAGTATTACGTGTTGACGGCCGCGCATTGTGTATTCTTGTGAGTGTGAATTAAAATTGCATTAAAAAGACGTCGAAAAAAAAGGTCAAATCAAATGAAAGCGCAAAAATCGAAGATTGTCTCGATCGTGTCTTCGATTTGAATTATGTCCAGTTCAAATCGCATTTAAAAAATGAGAAAAGAGAAGATCGAATCAAATGAAAGCGCAAAAATCGTAGATTATATCTTGATCGTGTCATCGATCTGAATCTTGTCGGGTTCAAATCACATTTAAAAAATGAGAAGGGAACAGATCGGATCGAAGAAAAGCGTAAAGATCGAAGATTAAGTCGAGCGTGTCTTCAATTTGAATCTTGTCGGCGCTTTATCGTCGCCGTTAGTAGCACTCGAGTGTTTTGAAACGATAAGCCGCTTCGAGTGGTGAAATCGAGATTAATTTCGAATTAATATTCTCGTTAAATCGTAGCCTGCACTCCTGATTAGATTTACTGTTACGTTACCATTCGCTGAATATTTGTGCTGCAGAAATGGCGAACCCATTCTGCCGTGGACGGTCATGGTCGTTGCCGGCGAGATCCAGCTCAATCAGCAGACGCCGGCTGGACAGAGAAGGGGCGTGGAAGAGATTTATGTTCATCCTCGGTTCAATCAGAGCACTTTACAGAATGATGTTGCCCTTCTTTATGTATGGCTACTATTCGTTGCCTCCAGTTTTCCAAGTTTACTCTGAAATTTATTTTAAACTAACCTTTTGCGGACGAGAATTTTGTAAACTTTCGAAAACGTTTCTCATAAAACAGCTGAGTTATGCATCGAAATCTTAAATACTACAAAAACGAAAACTGCTTATCAATCTCTCGTTATATGAATAATCGAATTATTCATTTGCAGTTTTCGAATTTAGATATGAAAGCTCGAAGTTTCCATTATGGCGGCATCGGCCGCAAAGGGTTAATATTTTAACTTCGCTTTAAACTAATCTTACTTTTATTTATTTTAAATTTCTTTGAAAATTTGTTGCGTACTGAACTGAAATTTTGTTTGACACTAAGAATTTCTGGGTTCAGAAGTTTTTAGTAATTGAACTGTGTGTTTCAGTTGAAAGTTCCGTTCAAATTGACACCGAATATTACACCTGTTATTATGACAACTGAGCCACCAGTACCGAATTCTATCTGCCAGGTGTCTGGATGGGGCTATCCTTCGTATGTGAGTAGTTTCCCCGAGCTTCTTCTATTTAGATTAGAGTTGGACGGAATTTAATCGGGTCATACGTTACTGTAATTAATAATTACACTGCAATCGTCATGGTTAGTGTGTAATTAATAAGCGGACCGAGTTGTTTGTCATGTTAATATTTCTTTGAATGCAGGATTATCCCATAGTGAGCAACGATTTGATGTATGTGGACCTGCCAATCGTAGAGCCCAGCGTTTGTAAAAAACTACTAGTGAATGTAACTGATCTACTACCCGGAATGTTCTGTGCTGGTTACATGGAGGGTCAAAGGGACGCTTGTCGGGTACGGATTAAAACAGTGATCTCATATCGCGATACAATGAACAGAAAGCAGAGCAAAGAATAGAGTAGGATTCAAGGGATGATTCATCTAAAGATTAATCGCTTCGTCTAAGAAGCTTTATCTTGAGCAGCGTTGCGGAAAGAGTTGATAGCTAATCCATCATGTTTTCCTATTTGAGAACAACGTTAGGAGCACATCAATTTCAATACAATTTCATTCTCACAATGAAAATGCAATGATTAAAGATGAACGTTGAAAGAACCCTTATGTTAGCAACTGTGAACCTGGTTACTTTTCAATTATTTTCTACAGAATTTATATTTTTATAACAATTCAAATCTTCTCTTGAATCTCTATTTGTCGAACACTTTCACAGTAACTAGTGTTACGGAGATAAAGAATTCACACAAAAATGTTACAGTTATAAACTCGGAACGAATATAAACATACTAGCTAGTATAAGGGTTAAAATCTCGAACGTAGAAAACAGAAATGTTCTAACATAAAACAAATTTATACAAATTTCTGTAGGGTGATTCCGGTGGCGGTATGATCTGCAACGGGGTCTTAACTGGCGTGGTGTCCGGCGGAGAGGGTTGCGCGCTTCCGGCATTGCCGGGCGTCTACTCGAGCGTGTTCTTCTTCGAAGAATGGATCCTCGAGAATATGAAAGCGCCATCGTTCTTGAGGAAAGCGACAGCCACGCAACTCGTGCAATCAGGGGCAGAACAGGTGTTGGCCTCTTCTATCCTATTATTTACCCTTGTCCTTACGAATACTCTATGACGAGGTCAACAAATTATGTGTACCCTAACTGAAATACAGACATTTTAGGTGAATAACGAATAAAACTTCGTATCCCGGGCGTCTGCGTTCCTCGAGGCTCCGGAGCAAGCAGCTTCCACCCCTTCTCTCGGTAAACAAGCGCGAGGGAAAGAGAGGGACAGAAAGAGGGAGATATTCCAGGGGCCGGAAGTTGATTGCGAAACTTTTCGTCGGACTCTCGCTCGCGCGCGACTCTGCGTAAATAATTCGGAACGGACACGGACTCCTGTCTAGAATTCAATATCCGGCGTCAATCTGCTCTCCAGACTGTTCCAATGTTTTATTAATAATAATCAAAGAGAGCTGGGGAGGTCTTCAAGAGCTCTCTCAAACATTAATCGTTCTTCGCTACCTTCACCCCCCCATGAATCTCCCGGGAGTCGCCTGCCGAGGGAAAAATTCCCTGAAAACTCCCTTTGCCTTTTTCTCCCTCCACCTTCACTCTTCGTAGAAAAATCGTTGCGTTACGTTTTTCAACCCTTCCATTCTGCTTCTCGATAAGAGTAGTACGGGTTGGTTATTTAGAGGGTTAGACTTGAGTGATAGTTATGTTACGTTTTCCAACCCTTTTCGTTCTAATTTATTAAAGTCGTTATAATACGTTTTTTAACCCTTTTCGCTGACTCAGCCTCTTATAAATAGATGACAACTATGTTTCGATCATTCGGAAGGCCAAACCGGAAATATAGATTACACCTTTATAGATTTAAGAAAATACTTCTAGAATAATCGTCGTGTTACATTTTCCAATCCCGTTCATAGTCTCAGCTTCTCATAAATAGATAACAACGGTATCCATAAAACTAGACCAAAAACACAAACAACTCTCCTATCAGAATGAAGAAAAAACACTTCCGGCATAATCGTCGCGTTACACTTTGCAACCCCCCTCACATTCTCAGCTTCTCGAAAACAGATGCTAATTCTGTTTCCATTATTTAGAAAGCTAGACCAGCAACACAGACGACTTTAGGCTGAATTTCGGTGGAAAACCCGCACGCGCACGCGCGCCGGAAATGAGAGTAGATAACGAGAAGAGGGTTATGCACGCGGACCGCTTTGATCTCGGAAAGCCGCGCTGCTCGCGTAAAAAGCTTCCGTTGCCTACTTAATACGCGGGAGGCGATATACCGGGCCGAGAAATGTATTAGCGGTATTGCCGGTGGCAACGTCGACGTTGCAACGTCGAAGGATGTTCCGCGGCGTGTCTGACGATTCCCGGCCGTTTCCACTGAATTTCCATGGTCTTCAAAGGGACGACAACGATAGCGTGAGTCGGCCTCCGGGATATTGCAAGAAAATATTTGTTCGCCACACCACGCCACGCCACGCCACGCCACGCCACGCCACGCCACACTGCCAGCCACGGGGAGTA